TCTCCAGACAAAAAACAACTCAGAACTTCTGAACAACTTGGGTAACTTCATCTTCCGGTGCTTGTCGTTTGCCTGCACGCGCTTCGAGAATCGCGTTCCCGAGAGCGAGGGGGAACTGGAAGATACCGATAAGAACGTTCTGGCCCAGGTCGCACGGTACTATCAGGAATTCCTGGAAAATTTTGAAAACCTGCACATCCGAGACGCCCTCCGTGCTGTTCTCATGATCTCGAAAGCCGGCAACCAGTACGTCCAAGCGTCCAAACCCTGGGAAAAAGTCAAAAACAAGGAGACCATCGGTCGCAGTAAAACCATAGTGTACATCGGAATTCAGATCTGTGCTCTGGTCGCAGGTTGCCTCGAGCCATTCATGCCCAAGACGGCGGCTGAGCTCCGGAGACAGCTCAATATTGAAAAATTGGTGCTCGAGGACGAGTTCCGACCCCTGATTGCTGGCAATCATTCCCTCAATGAGCCGCAGCCGTTATTCAAAAAAATCGAGACCGAGCAGATTGAAGAGTTTCAGAAAAAGTTCGCGGGTCAACCGGAAGCGGGGGGATCGAGCGTCAAGGTCCTTGGAACTCCTGAGGAAATTGAAGCCAAGGTCAAGGAACAAGGCGACAAGGTCCGATCCCTGAAAGCGGCCAAGGCAGATAAGGCCACCATTGCAAGCGCGGTGAGTGTTGCGAGTACATCAATAACATGATCCCTCTCGATATACCGCATATCGGTGGCTCAGTCGATTCGATCTTCCCGAGCAATCCGCTGTCAAGCATAGCATTATGGGATTCTAATCTCTGACTTCTTCAATAGGTGGTGCTTCTGAAGGATCTCAAAGCCCAGCTCGCTATGGCGACGAATAAATGAAGAAGACGGCGATATTTATTTGTGTGTAATTTCTGAATAATAATTGAATGAATTTATGCATGGATGCCTCATTGAATTCTGATCTCTTCGCTGGGCTTAAATTCGGAATTGATATTCCCCTTCCGTGATGCAAACGTCGAGCGATGTTGAGAGGAAGCGTGCAAAAAGATCCGAAAATATATATCGAGAGACTGAGATCTCAGTCTAGTCTTCGATTCGGAATGGTTCGCGCCAAGGTTGCTGGTCCAGAGTCCGAAATCCCGAATCCCTCCCTCGCAACGAGGGCGTTTCTCTTTCTGATCCATTCGTGGCGGGTGGAAATTCCATCGAAAATCCAGTCACACTTCACGGATTCCTCGTGGTGAGTCAGACTCTCTCTCGGATGGATGAGGAATAATTTTACTCTTACGAGCGAAGCCGCAGCCCACGTTCAAGGAAGACCTGCTTTAAGGAATGAATTTCGCGAGTCATAGATTCGGGAAATAGAGGTACAAGTAGAAAATATTCTGGATACGGCCCCCGCCCCGGTTGAAACGCTCGTTGCAAGTTATCGGCGGAATGTCAATGGGAACTTTTTCCTAGAACCGGAAAGCAGGAGGAATCTTGATCCAATCTGGGAATGTCCATCTGATTTGCTATATTAATTAATATCGGGAACATCTGCCTTCCCGGAAGCATCTGATAACATCATCAGATGTTTTTCATGCACGTGTTTTTCTGGGCGAATCTTGTCCAACCCATCGTACGCTCTGGCGGATGCGGAGGCCTTCTCTTCTTAGGGATCCCAAAAATGCTGTAGTAAGTAGAACGAGTTCCGCGAATAGCGTGTACATCAGTTCCGCGTAAAACAGGAGCTAGGTGATGACGGTGAATCGAGTTAGCTCTTGACGAAAGATCAACCGCGGGAGCTTACGATTTTCGCATTCACCGGAATCGATCATCCCACGAGAGTTGATATTAGCCTGAATCATTGGATTCCACTATATTCGGGGATACGGAGGACATTCCTCCAACGTAGCGTCATTTCGAGGAAGTTTTCGTGAAGTCCCATGAAGGGACCGTGACGCATCTGCCAAGATACAGTTTTCTGGTGTCCTTGTCTCGTTTTCGACTCACAGAGGGAGTCAGATCGCCGTTACAAGCGGAAGGGATCCCTTGGAGTCTGCTCGCAAATGACCGAAGTGATGGGAGCTGAGCTCTGAGTGGGCGTCTGGGAGTCCGATTGCGGGTATGAGCAGCTTCTATCAACTAATAATCAGCTAATATATCAGATATCAACAATATCAGGATAAGGGATGGAAGAAAGAGTCCTTATTGTTCGTTTGTCCCATTGTCTCAACATATATGATATGTTTCGAGGTTGAAACGGCATGCTTTCAGATTCGGAAGCATTCGATTGCTGGGACTCGATATCATTCCTCTCAAAGTACACATGAGCCAATGCGGTCTTTCGAGATCGAATAGAAAATTTCAGACAAGGCCTCTCTAGCTCAATATCACCGAGAGGCGACGATTCGAGGCTGGACTGGTTGTAACATTGGTCGAATAGTAGATTTTTAAGATGGCCACGATTGACCCTCACGACGTTGTGAGGCACGTGTCCACGAACCGTCTGAACAGTGGACCGGGGATGGGAAAACCACAATTTATTTATTTATTCAAATAAATAACTATACATACGTAATCGATGAGCTCTCGCATGGAGTCTGCCCGTCTGAGATGGCGATTGCTCCCTCGATTCTCCGTCGGGATCATCTTCCCGGTCTATCCCCGAGAGATTCGTTCGGCTTTTTGTTCTGACTATTTTTCTTCAGGATTCGGCAGCGTTTCGGGTAGAACAAGTGTTCCGCAAAATACAATAACTATGGGAGGTATTTGCGGAATGAGATTTCACAGCGAGTGCGCCAGCCATTCGGCTTCTCGCAATAGTTTCTATCCAGATCTCTATTGGACCGGGTGAGGTCTTCGGCATGTACATTGGCTGCATTCAGAGGTCCAATAAAATTTACAGCATTTAGGATCTTCCGGGATGGCACTCTTCCGCGTCTCTCTGGCTCGGTTTCTTACGCGGGAGATAAACATTCAGGGCGCTGAGGCAGCTGACACCGTGGATACTGATGGTTCCATTTTGCATTCACTCGTTCGGAATCTTCCCGATTTCAGCTGAGCGTTCCCCGTCATGGAATGTCGGAGCGCGCGGAAACTCAACTTCGAGAGTCTCTTCGGTGGAGGACCCTCGTAGCGAGGATTGAACCTGCGGGGAACCGGCTTCGGCCGACACACGAACCACCACAACAATGCCGTTAGGATGCTCAACAGGACCAGCATCACGGCGCCTACGACCACGTAGAAGCGAGTGGATCCCGCTTTCAGGTCGAATACGTTAAAGCTGTCAGATTCGTTCGTCCTGAGGTAGGGCATCTCCTCGACAACGACATCTGAGCTCTGGGAGGTTTTCGTCAGAATTTGAGTTCTCTCCTCGAGATTATTCATTCTTGAGCGTCGCTGAGGCGATCGGTTCACGTAGAGAACCGTGCTGCTCACCGTGACAGAATTCTCCAGGAACGGATCGTCTACGGGTGCAAGATTCACTACGTGCAGAAAGGAAGCCACCAACAGCAACGCCAGCATTCTGTCGATCGTCGTGGATTTTCGGATGAGTAGACTCCTCCAGAGCACACTTTAATTCCTAGATGGAAAAACGCGACTTTCACTCAACGCGCATCACACGCAGCTGGCGGCTTCCTCTGTGGACGGGATGGCGCGTGATACTTCCGCGGCGCAGTGTAGGTAGAAATTTACGGAGCGTTGCACGAATCAATGCACTTTCGGAACCAGACTTTGAAGTCGCCGTTCAACACACTGCTTCACAGAATAAATTGATGACACGCGCGAAAGATGTTCACCCGTTCACCGTGCCGGTCGTTGTGTGTCTGGCTCCTGCCTCAGCGTGGCTGCAGGCTGTGTAATCATTCTCGCATGGTCCTCTCCACGCCATGAGTAAACCCCGGTGCGTAACGTTTACGGCGCAGACAGTTGGCTTTCAAACTTACGGACCGGCCCGACGCACGTATGGATGGACCAACCGACTGACTGAGAGACTGACGAACGAGGGAGAATCTGCGTCGGAAGCGGTCGGGGCGAAGGCAGAAACCTGGATCGTCGAGGGGTGCTGTCGGTGGCTCGGTCGCGTGTTGAACGTTGAGGCTTCGGACTTGCTCAGCAGATGTTCAAGATCGGACCGGCGCCGAAGTTTGAGAGAGGACCAGAACAAAGGCATCGAATTCTCGCTCCCTCGCTACATACATATCGTATTGTAGAACGGCGACGTGGAAGGAGGAAAAAACCTTCAAAACTCCGCGCCATCGGCACGGCGCCGCGGTTTGAGAGGTCAGAGGGGAAGCAGAGGGGGTTTCCCGTCATTCTTAGTATTTTTGGATACAATGAACCTAGAACCGGAGATTCTATAAGCCACCCAATTCCAAAAACCCTACCAGACCAATCACAAAAATTCTGCGAGCTCGACCACGGACATTCCAAAGCGAATCGCGCGGAGATCTGTTCCGGAAGATTACGAGTAGAGCATGACGTAAAAACATAATCTCTCGTTTCGCGAATCGAGTGCGCACGGCCAAATCAACTTCGAGCGCGGCGACCTGTGGATTTAGGACAAATCAAATATAGGTATATATTTTTTGCGGTCGCGACAGAGTCGGCTCGCTCGGGCCGTCGGAGCGTTTTCCTGTTCAAGGTGGATACGAGAAACGTAAAATTCTCACACTGGCGGACAGGTGAATCAACAAAATGGGAGACCTGCCTATAGGAGGAGGCAGGGAATTCATAGGTGATCGAAGTGATGGTTTCCCAATAACAGCTTCGCCGGTTGGTTCCGCTCCGATTTCGCGCAACATGGATTTGCCTATGGCGACGTCCTTCGTCACGTGACAGGTGCCACGCGAATCAAACAATTGTTCTTCTATATTAAGCAAAGTGTTTGATCGGATAAATATATCCCCATAGAATGGGTACGTGTCGCCAGCATCGTTGGCGTACCCGCTTCCGAACTAGCGTCCGACGAAGACGTGGAGTGTCCGGCGGTGATCAATGAGCATTGGTAAACCCTCGCTTTCACTGTTACAAAAGCAGGTGATCCCCGAACGTATTTCGTTACGCTGAAGTTCGTGCGGAGCGATCTACCGGCCATCGGCCTTCCTGGCCGACCCAACGGACTTTCACTGTCAACAACTTCGAACTTCTTCGTGGTTCAAATGGCTTCTTAGGCATCGCGTGGATGACGAGGGCGGAGAAGCACCCGAAGTCCTGTCGTTAGTTCTTGTGAAGCTCGGTTCGAGGATACATCTGCGATGACTCGGGTCTGGAAGCGCTCTTTCTTTCCTGAGAAAAAAACTGAGCCTAACTGGAACGCGAGTCCGAACTCCTGCGTAATCCCGTTCAGACAAGACTCTCGCAGCACTGCCTCCTCGATCGATAAATCTCCCGGGACGATAGCTACTCGAGATCTCGAGGACATGCTGAAATAGGATTTCCCTGTATCGTGCATGCGGGGGCAGCGGGCTCTTCTTGCCGTTGAAAAGAAGGCTGGAGACCGCTTTCGTCATTTGAGCGGAAATACTTCGAGAGCGATATCCGTCGAATCCGAGTCTGACTGACTGGCTGCGTGACTGACTGAGCTGTTTCGCCTACCATGAGCAAGTAGAGTGATGCAACTTTTACCTTTCAAAGAGATCTTGGCTCCCTCCAGGGGGGTTCCTGAAGTCCTACTCCTAGACGTCCCGGAGAGTCTGGATTTGGAGCAGTGAGTTAGTCATCAATCCTAAGAGACGGAATAGATCCAGAGTTTCATTAATTCAGGTTCCAGCTTATTCCCTGTCGTCCGGAAAACTTCGTGAGCGGTCTTCACTACCCGAGAAATTATTTCCCCCTGGAAACGCTTCCTTACTCGGCTCGGACAATTTCTCAGAAAGAAGTTGGTACGCACAGAATTTTCGGTAGTAGGCCGGCTTCTCACTTGGCTAGCAGCGATTCACGCCCGAAAAAGCTTACTGATTCGCTCTGAGTGTGACCGGAGACGCTGAGCCGTGGACTGAATCTTCTTACTAGGCTTATAAACTTTGGGAAGCGGCCGCTAGAATGGAAAGTTTTTGTCGTACGTTCCGTCGATTTTCCGATCGATCGGTCGGTCGGTCGATGTTCGCTCATTGTTCAGTCCTCAGAGTGGCCGTCACTGCGAAGCGGGTTTTCGCCGCGAAAGTGTGACCCTAGCGAGACCTCCAATCATCGAAGGTTCATTGAAAACTCGCAGCTAGGATTGAGCCGATCATCAAACCGCTTCCCATAAGATGCGTTCACGAAAAGAATATTTCACGATGACGACCCGATCCTAGGGACCCGCACAAAAATCCGATCCACGATGGAACAGCTCTACTCACAGACAGTTCCTCCGTCAACCAGCTCGGCGTATAAACGGAAGGCAGGCAAGATGTTGTAAGAGCAATAATTATTATAGCAAATCGAAAGTCAATTCGATATTCTGAATAACAACAGCGGGACATGAGCGGACGGCTCGTCGAGCTATCACTGCCGATCTGAACGAGATTCTCCATCCTCCAGGGATACAGATCGATTTTTGAATGCTCTCTAGGATCTATAGTCCTCTGGACGGATCAAGTTAATCATTAACATAGCGTAGGCTCATACAGATTTTCTTTTCTTTCTGTTGGCTCCGTGATGAACGTCCGATTCAGAGTCGACGTTGTATAGCGATTTGCATTCACACAGATGGTACGGGCGGGACCTCATGAAATCTTGGCAAACGTCATCCACTCATTTGATGAAATCCATCCGGAGCGCCATGAACAAAGGTGACTTTACGCCCGAGCGATTCCTCTGACTCCCGCTGCAGGAGGCAGTATCTTGAGCTCACCTCATGCCAGATACTTAGAAAGAGTCACCTTCCGAACTGAAGGCCGATCTGAGGACGGAAACGTGCTCCCCGTTGGCGATTCTTCCATCGAGAAACTCATAATTCAATTCTGCGGAGGAATCAACGCGTGATTTCCTCCCGCGGGCTTGATTCTTCTGCATACTACAGCCCGTGATAATTAGAACGATTCCCAACAGTTGTGGTAATCCTTCTGGCTCTGCCCACCGTCACGAGGATCAAAGTTTCCCGTTGAACTGCATCTCCGAAAACCGAAATTGCCAACGTTCGATCCAACCTCCCTTGGACGTAGGTCAGAATTTGCCTTCTGCGATTCGTCACAAGTTCTCGTTGAGCTCCCAGATCCTGATGAACCGCGAATAAGATGCGACACTTCGCCGGGTCCTCGTGATGCAGACACAAAGTTTCATTGGCGCGAACGGCTGCAGTGCTCATTCCGCCGCATCCTCTTGGGAAGATGAGAGAAAGGGAAACTGGAGATGGATTTTCAGAGAGGGCCTTCGCCAGAGAGGGAGAGCCGCGGATCACACACGGGCGCGAAAAACTTGTCGCCGGCAGAAGGAATCCTCGCGCGGGCAGGGGTGTGTTTGAAATTGTGCCGTGCTGTGGTCGTTGTTCTGTGAGATCCGCCCGCTAGATCTGTCCGAATCCCCACCCGAAAGCGCAACAACTGTTTTTAGTGGCCCCGTGTGGTGCTCCTGTGTCTTCGGATCAGTGTCTGTCAAATGGCAACAACGAGTGAAAGGATCCTGTAGCAATGTGAAACCTTGATAGTGTACCTCCGTCCGGCGGAACGAAATGCCGTTCCCGAAGTGGAGTGTGGACCCGGTCTACCTTTCGAGACGGGCAATTCCACCCGATAAACAAATCGAGGATGAACTAGAGTGCAACGCGCTTCTGACGCTCGCGGCGACGTTGAGGCAACTGGCCGATCTGACGAGGATCGTCGACGTCGTGTTCGAAGAGCTGGGCACAGAGTGCGGTCGTTTGGTTGAACGAAGTGAAAATGTCGCGAGGAGAGCTCAAGGACTTGCCGAAATCGTCGACAAGCTTGACGCCAAGAAGGTCCAAGTTCGTAAGTATTACCAAAGCAGCCTTGGCTCTACTAGGGTTCGTCACGCCACTGAACTTGAACAAACAAAGGATGGAACTGCCTCTCTGATCGGAATTACCACCTATTGTTGAATAATGCTGAAGAGGATGGAGCACGTGAGTTCGTAACGACTCAGGATCGCGCAGACCGTCGTCGTTCGTCCCGGATCCGATGCTTCAGACGGGTTAAAACAAGCACTTGTGCGCGGTCGGTCAGTCAGTCAGACGGCTCACTGACCGGGTCGGTCATCGACGCGGAACTAGTGATCGAATCTGAGAGATGCGAGCGTCGGTCTTGGAGAAGAATGCCATTCTCTCCAATTTATGGAAGATTCCGACAAGCCATAATCGAACGAGTACGATGCGAACTTCATTCGTGACGGGACCCGCGCCGCCGCCGCCGCTGCCACCGAAACAGTACCGAGCCTATGGACGACCCCCTGCTGTTTCATCCTTGAGATGTCGCGCTCAATGCTGTACACGGTCGTTGGCATAGTCAGGAATCCGGCTCTGTGTGTTTGTCAGCACTCCCGCTAGACGAATGACTTTCAGTAGCTAGAAATTGACCCTCGGCTCCGATGCTTCTTCGTATCGGATCGTTCGGCCCCTTCCAGAATTATTATTACGCCATCGATGCGTAAAATGTTATTTTGGAAGCGGCACTGACAAGTGGAAAGGTCGAATCATCGTCGGCTAGATGATGCTGGCGGGATCCGAGGAGAATAATCCGGGACGTTCGCTACATTCGTCGGATTCTTTGATCGAGGCTTTCAGAAGACGACCTGCCGGACTCGATATCTGGGCGTTTTCCTCGAGCAGCGCTTCGGCCATAGATGTAGCGAACATGAGAGCAGCCCTGGCAGCAGCTTCTTCTAGCGCTCCATAGCGTTAAAGTTTGTCTGTTTGTCAGTGAACTGAACTGAACAACGAGGTACCAAGCGCTCGCCGTGGTTTCGTTCGTTCGTTCGTTCGTTGGCTGCCGGCTCCGTCCGTCCCTCTGACTGCCGCCGGCTGAGTGGCCCATGCCGTCAACATCTCTCAATGCTTTGAGCGCGTTCCTATTTTGCTTTACTGCTCCCGCTACAATGCTCGGCATTTTTTGTTCTGTCAGACCTATGCTCAATCGCTGGGTGCTTATCATCAGCTGGTGTCTTCGTCGGTGATGGGGAACGAGCTGCGAGGAATCGAGAGGGATGTAACGCCGAGCGCCGAGGGTAAAATAGATCGAAGGTTCCGAACGTGAGTTCAGACATTGATGAGCGAGAGTCCGGAGCTCTGATTTCTAGCGGTGAATTAGTCAGAAAACTCGAATCTGTTGATGACGGCCATGACGACCGTATTGAGCGCAAGTTGAGATTGAGCAATTTTTTCTCGGTCAGACAGCCTCACCGCGACGATACCGCGGAACTTCCCCGAAAGAATTTTCAATGAGCATGCAGCCCATAACTCACGGGGTGGTCTCCGGGCTCCTCCGCCGAGCTCTTGTAAACAGGACTCGCTGGATAATCTATCGGGAGATCGTCGGATCCCAGGGAGAGAGAGGAATTCGGAGCGACTCGAGAGAATTCGCTGCCTAATAAACCTGCCGTTCTGGATTTTTCGAGAGGTGCACCGAAATCCACGACGACGGTCCAATTTGTGGCAACAAGTGCTACCGCTGTCGCAGCCTCACCGATCGTATGGAGAGGCGATGACAGGCACACTCGATTCCACGGGGGCATCAATGATCAGGAGCTCTCCAGACGAATGTAGCAATATCTATTATTTGGGAGAAAAGAAGAGCTGTCCTTAGCGATAGCATAACTATCTCGAGACTCACTCAGAGCCAAATAAGAGCCGACACACAACTCGTTCTCTCGCTCGCTCCGCAACGTTGTTGTCGCCGTTGTTGTAACTCTCGCAGCATTTGCTGCTCGCTGTAGCCGCCGCCGCTGCTGCTGTTGATGCTACCCGCGTACAATGATGAATTAGATTATCAGACTCATTGGGGCCACCCCGATGCCGCTTTAAGGGTTCACGGAATCCCGGCTCGGTGTCGCCGCTGCCGCCATCGCGTTGTATGTCCAGACCTCGTTCCCTCCTCAGAACTTCAAGTCCGGCCGTTGGAGAACGAATGGCGCGCAAAATATCGATCCCCCTCGCGTTTTCACATGGGATTCGGATGCGACGGGTCGACTCCGGCGCAATAACGTACTACACCAGCTGAGGCAGAGGCTGCGTTCAGGTGAATGCGATCCCGTCGTTTTGACTAAGGCCAAGCTCGAAGTGAGACTACTCGAGCGAAATCAATGAACGGCGATGACAGGTCTCACGTTTCAAGAAAGACGGAGATAAATACGGAGAAAGAGAAACTCTGAGAGAGAGAGGGAGAGCGCGTCAACGATATGGAGTTGTCAACGGAGTCGGTTCCAGCGTCGTGAATCATCTTTTCGCATCGCGTCGAGAATCGCTGGAGATCCAGCTCTCTGGTACCTTCAACGAGAAACATCTGAGTGCGACTCATTTCCCGAGAAGAGGCTCACATGATCGGCAACTTTACCCTTGCTGACAGAGCGACCGTTGATTCATTTTCCATTTTTCATTCCTAGAAAGTTGGAGCGAAGGTTAACGAAGAATGTTCTGAGACTCGGGGGAATTGTCGAGATTCACGCTCGTCCCGTATGGAATTCAGCTCTCTAAACCGATGGGTTTCAGAACCTCAGGAGCAACCAATTACCTCGACGGTGCACTATTTTCTCTTCGGATCTGGGCTGTAGACTTGCTTCTTTTATGAGACCGTTCAAGTCGGAGAGTTCGCTGAAACGCTTGAAATACCCAACTGAGCGGGACGTACGGATTCTTCAATCCGACGCTCGGGAACTCACAAACGAACACCCCTCCGTCTACAAAAGATCAATCTCGTAAACATGTCAGCTACCTCTGGTCGCAGTCGAGACAGGATTCGTGTCTCGGGGACGAGTCATGGATTTTCGAGCGCGTCAACGCAGCTGACCCCATACGTAATCAGGAATTTTAGAGAACCATTGAGCTGTCAAAGTACTAGAAGTTGGAAGATTTACTTTTGGACTCGCGAATGAAGCGCAGTGAGTGTTGAGCGGGTTCTGCGAGAGAATCCGCGATGCGATCGCCGCTATTCCGGCAGGTGAACGAATTCCGCGTGGGACTCTCGAGTGCTCCTGGACGACAAAAGTGTCCTTTCGGGGACACCTACCACCCTGACGATACGCGTAGCTGTTTTGAGCGACTGTTTTCACTTCCGCAAAAGCTCGTTTTGCTTCGCAAATGTCCAACAAGCGAAAGTTTCGAATTTTTTCGAGTGGACCGAGCTGTGTTTCAAATGTTGCGGTCCTCTTGCGGTGGGGCCACGCGCTCCGCTCCGATGGTTCGCGTGAAAGGTGGGAGCAGTCGCTGCAGCGGCTCAAACTTAACAGCAAGCCGTCGTTTACGTAGGACAGTCGCCCGTGATGCGACATGTTGCTCATGGCGTCTCTAGTGCCGCTAGCGCGGAATGAGTTCTCCACTACGCTACTTACTGTCGAGCAAATTTGAATTAATTGCTGAATTGTTCGCGGACCTTCTGAGCTGATAAGGGGAATAGCGAACGAAGCTCGCGAAACATCCCGGCGACATGCTGTGCAGAATACAGTTCCCTCGCGCCCTCAGTTCTAGATGGGCGATGCGAGAGTCGGCTTGTTTATTCGAAGAAAATTCGCCGCCAGGGCTGATATCGAAACTCTCCGAAACCGAGCTTTATCGTCGAACGCAAGGGAGATTATTCTTTCGCAAACGACTCGTTCCGAACAGGTAGATATGCCATGCAAAATCACTCGACCGGAATACCCAGCCAGCTCGCACCAGCTAACCAGTCGACCGATCAGCAAACTATTAGTACGATGTGGTTGGAATATCTCTCAAACGAAACAATTCAAAATTAACAAAAGCGAGATTACTTCCCGGGCAGCTATTAATGAGCCTGAGGTATCTCCACCCCGGTCTCCGAACTTGAGCTGAATCATTAGAGAACGTGAAGGGCTCGCTCGCTGCTTTACCAAGAGGGAAAAACTTAATCGTTCTTAATTGTCGTCGAGTTCTCACTCCAACTTCCAATTCACGCTCTCCATTCGCGGGAATCTGCGTGAGGCTTCGCTGTGGTAGACCGTGTCGGTCGGGTCGAGCGTTGCGATGATTTTGTGCGACCGATAAAATGCTCGCTCCCGGGTGATGAAGTTGACCTTTACATATTGCTGATTCCGATTCTGACGGTCATGACAACATTTTGTTCTCGATTTTCGAAATGCTCAAAAGAAGAAGAGTCCCGAGAAGGGCGCGGGTCGACAGAAAGAATGAATCGCCGAAAACGGCAGCAGCACGCGATGGCTGCCATAAACGCTTATTGAACTCAGTCGAAGCGTCGAGCCACACCAGCGGCGGGGATGGACCGAGGATTCTGCGAAACAATTTCAAAGAACCGGGGACCGGAGCAGGAAGTAGAGAATTCTCCACAATCAGGAGAGTGGTCAAGCAGGGAATAATCATAATCCGAACGCTCATCCTTTCCCCCTGTCGTCCGTGGGAGACTTGTGCCGAAGGCACACTCCGAGTCTCGACCCTCCGGCTCGGGCTGTTCCACGGTGCGGCTCCAGCGTACGCTTCATTGCGGTGAAAAATGATGGAAATATCTCCGCTTGAGTCTCCACTCCCCGATTTGGAAGAGTTTCCGGCGTTTTTCAAGAAGCGTCTCCCCGGAAGCGAGGCTGGGCGAGCGGCTTCGATTTCCGGCTGCTGACCCGACTTATTCTCCTCTTCGGTCTCTGGCGTGCGTCATGTTTACGTATGTATTTATGCAAAAGGGTTCTCCCTTTAAATGTACTTGCCTGAACTCGCTCACGCTTTCATGTTCCCGCTTGAGAGAAACCTCCTTATTGCTCATGCTAGGGTTCGATGTGGTTCGTCGATCATTGAAATTTCGAGTGTGAGAATTTC